GTCCGCGCGGCGCGTCTCGTGCGCGAGCCGCTCGGAGGTGAGGGCGAGCATGGTGCGGACGTGGGCGACGTCGCGCTCCTCGCGCGTGAGGAGGCGGGAGAGGAGCTTCGACCTGCCCCACGCGGACTCGCGGTCGCGGTCGCGGTCGTGCTGTGCGTCTTTGCGGGCCCTGCGGGGGGCGGGGGGCGGCGAGGAGTGCTGGGAGCGCGACGGGGTGCTCCGCGAGTGGGATGGCGCGGACGGGAGGGTGTCGCTGGAGGACGACGATGGCTCGTGGGTGTCCATCTTCGGGAAGGGGAAGTCTGTGCTGGCTCGGTGGTGGTCGTGGTGGTGAAGGTGGTAGGCGGTTAGGCGGTGAGCGGGCAAGGACGAGGACGTGACGACACTCACCGACCCGTCTCGTCCAAGATGGCAGGCATACGCCAGGGCGCCGACGGTGTTACGTGGGAGAACACTCAGATCCGGGGTGCGGGGAGCGAAGGCCAGCACGTACAAGCTGTCGCATGCTCGCCCGCGTCGTTCATGTAGCAGAGAGGGTGTGGGACCAGTGCAGAGCCGCTCCCGCGATCATATGCGCTGCAAGGCGTTGCAAAGGCGTGTCTTTAAGCCGCCTTATCCCGCGCGTGCCCCACACGTGTTGATGGATCACCGGCGATGGTGTGTGCGTATGGCGAGCCTATCATTCATAATCTGGAAGGGGCGAAACGGACGAGAAGTGAATTGGCGGACAGTTGGCCGCCGGGCGAGAGGACCTGTGATCGAGGCACCCCACGCGTCTTACGTCCACCGCGTCTCTCGAGTCCACATCCACAGGCGCCGCGCGTGATCGCAGGCCATCCCAGGGCGCCTTCGCAAGGCCCGCCGTTGTATTGCGGATATGCACGGCGTTCACCGAGGTTGAGACCGCGTCCACGCCCTCTCTAGGGCGGCAATGACGATGCTTCGTTCATTTCCCCCATTTCATCTACGGCGTATAGAAGCACGCATAGCGGCCAGCGTCATTGTCACACACGAGGCACGATGCACTCACCCCGAGTCAGCATTGGAAAATCCACGAAAACGCTCCGGGGATGCGAACAGCTGCTGCCGCTGTCAGGAAATCGCCGGAGCCATGGACAAGAGAGCCGCAGAAACCAGGCTTGCACTCAAAACGAGACGTCGACGACGAGCAGCACGAGGAACCGCCGCAGCTGCGCTGGAAACCTGTCGCGGTGCGACAGGCCACGCTCAGGATGTGTTCACGCGATAGGAGAGCTGAGCAGAACGCGTGTTTGTTTCTCGATACGTATATCGTCGCAGCTATGACTGTAGCCTTGAGAGTCGCAGTCAAGTCGGAAGAAGAGGGATCTGGCGTTTTCACTTGAGCTGTTACACAGGCGCCTGTACGATCATCAAGAACAACCGATGTGAGCGAGTATTTCTACATTAGGAAGCTGCTATGCCTTACTGAGCAGTCGGCAGAACCCCTGCCTCTGGTTTGCAACGACTGGTACCCATCGGCTTGGACAAACAAATGTTTGCGCACTCTGTGCCCCAGCTCACCGAATTCAAGTCAGGGCTGGAAGGACGCATACTGTGCCTCCCTAGGTAGTCGGCAGTCACGTAAATGCTATTTCGAGGTCCGCTTGACCAACGCTAAAGGACTCTTATGAACAGGTTCTAGCTCGAAGCATACAATGACGCTGACGTCATTGGACAATCAGACTCCGACACAAGCTGTTACAACCGAGGCGTACACCAGCGTGACAATGACTTGAACAGGTCCTCAGGAAGGGACTGGGCAGCCGCAGGCGTTGCAGCTGTGCTCGGCGTCGCCGGCCACGGTGACGGCATCAATGCAGAACTACTGCACTGTTCGGGTTCGTTCAAGCTCAAAATGAAAGCAGGCATACGAAAACCTATGTAAATCTATGTCTATACAAAAGCACGAAGGTAATCGAGTACTGTGGAGGTAGATATTGTGAAATCGCCGACTTTGGGGGTCCGCCGACTACCCAGTAATAGGGCTTTGACATCTTGGGTTACTCTCATGTTTGTTTGTTCCCGTCTGAGGGCGCGGAGCCCATTGCTAAGAGCTACTGGAGGCTCGTTCACACTCTACACTATATGGAGTATAAACCCGTCGATATAAAATAAAAAAGACTACCCGGTAATAGCAGCGCGGGAACTCCCGCAAACGCCGTCAACAACAAGCATCAATCCGCGGAAGTTGCGCAGAGGTCCCGCGGCCCTTGTATTTGTCCGAGGGGTGAGGAGAGCAGACGGCCCTCTCCTTGTCAAAACTAGGGGAAGGAGAAGGAAAAAGCGGAAAATTTGGACACAGCAGCGGGATGACCCCGATGAATGGAAAGCCAGAATGGTGCACAGCACGCGACACTTCAAGCTCGCTCCTCCTGGTTTAGGCTCTTTCTCACAGCGCGCGGGCGCGATCCTTGACATGACGAATTCGGTGCAAGCTGGGCGCAAACATGGCGCGTTCTGTGGGAGGTGCTTCTGCAGTGTATGATGCGGTGCACAGTGGCATCGAAGCGCATACGATCGCGGGACGGAAGCAAACCAGCGGCCGGCGTTCGATCAGAAGCCCAAGGGAGTCGCGCGGGGCAATGAATCGGACGTCGACGACGCTCGCTCGGCAGCTGCCACCCCCGGAGACTCGCCTGCCACCTGCACCGGCCGCTGCAGCCCCTGCCTCGCGAGCGTCGGTCGCTGCTGCTGCTACTACTGCGCGCGCTGCTGCTACTACTGCGTGCGCTGCTGCTGCTACTGCTTCTGCTACTGCCCAGGTTGCGCCATGCCAAACACGTCGCGCCAGGACGACAAGGACCGGTCGGCGAGGGCGCAGGAACAAGAGTTCAAACGCGCGCGCGGTGCCATATCTTGCGCAGAATGCCGCCGCCTCAAGCTCAAGTGCGACAAGACCGTCCCCTGCTCGTCGTGCAAGCGCCGCGGCTGCTCCTCCATCTGCCCCAACGGCAGCCTCACCACCGGCCAGGGCACCAGGTGAGAGCGCTGTCGTGTGTTGCGTTGTGTTGCTCACCCGCGCGCGCACAGATTCATCCTCGCAGACACCGACCGGCTGCACCGCAAGATCGCCGAGATGAGCGACCGCATCCGCCAGCTCGAAGACGCGCTCGCGATCCTCCAGTCCAGCGTCACGCGCGACCTGCACCCGCTGCTCGTGCAGGACCTGCTCAAGATCAAGTCCGGCCTCGAGCTGCACTCGGCGGCGCACCTCCAGGGGCGCGCGGCACACAGCGACGACGCCGGCGAGCAGGGCGACGAGGAGTCGCAGTACATTGACGCGTTTGGCACGCTCGCCGTGCGCGACGACGGCGCGGCGATGTTCTACGGACGCTCGGCGGGGTCGGAGGTGCGTCTGTGGCCTATCCCATGCGCCTTTGCGGCTGACTTGCATCCTTCAACAGAGCCTGCTTCTGGTACGTCTCTCTGTCGTCCCCGCGCGCCCACACTGAGCAGCACGCACCCTCTCCCTTCCAGGACGAGAACGAAAAATCGGGACAGCCACCGCCCGCCGCGCCGCACGCATCGCTGCCGCGCGCGCTGGCCAGGCTGACGACCGCGTTCCCCGCCGCGCCGTCCGGGCTCGCGGACGCGGATGCGGACATGGACGTGCAGGAGCTGATGGAGGCGCACCTGCCGCCGTGGCCGCGCGCGGCGCAGCTGTGCGACCTGTACCTGGAGCAGGCGCCGTGGTTCTTCGGGGCGGTGACGCGGCGGCAGCTCGTCGAGGAGGTGCTGCCGCTGTTCTACGCCGAGGCGGTGGAGTACCGCGCGCACGCGGGCGCGAGCGGCAGCGGGAGCATCGAGGCGGGCGCGCTGAGCAGCTCCGCGGCGGCGTTCGACCTGCAGCGCGCGCCGAACAGCGGGACGGGGACGG